GCTTGCGCGGACGTTCGGAAATTGTGCGTAAATCATTTTGTAGCCACGACAGACACGGGATTGCGCTTCCGTAAGAGTTGTGCAGAGAAGCACCGGTGGTCGTGCAGGGGCCGTGGAATTCACTGGACGCAATATTATAGGCCGATGTTTAAAGCGCATGCTCAGAACGCGCTCGCATTAACAGCCTGCTAAAACCTCCGATCTTGATGGTGCGGAAGCACGTTGCAAAAAAACTGCGGAAGCTCCCTGTGAGCACGCGCTCAGCAGCCGCCCACACAGCTATGGTTGCCAGTGAATACTCCCTTTAGAAGCTTATATGTAGGAGTCTCTGCGATAACCCAAGACATGACTCGGGTTCGGCGCATGCGCAGTGGTGAGCCGCCATTTCTTAGGGGCCCCTAGAGTGCCTTCATACACACGCACGTTTTTGCTTGATTGGTGACATCTCGGCCATTTTCCCGCCCAATCGTTTTTTATGCATTTTGAAGGGCGCGCAATCCGGTGTCACTCAGCTCGAACGCGTAGCTCTGGCTAATGCATAGACGCCATTTTACCGTCCAAGTCACGCACCGAGTGCGCCAGAGCGTCACGCGCCGGCACATTCAGTGCAACAATGGGTGTCTTCTTCACCCTGAGACAGACAGACTTGTAGGCACCCCAGGGACCCCCTAACGCTGAGACCCCTATTCTAAAACCCTAAAGGCAGAAAGCTCGCGCTCGAAGCTGGACATTCATTGGCTTTTTTGGGTTGTGAGGATATTTATACAGCGTGTAGTTGGTCAGCCATTTAAAGTTGCGACGAGTCACTCGCTGTAGATGAGCAATTTAGCCAGTGCGGTACAGCCGCTAGCCTGGGGTCTTTAACGTGCACCACGCAGTAGTGATACACGACCGCACGCCGGTACGATGGTCATCCAGATCGAAACGGGCAGGGGTGGGGATTGAGCCCAGGATCCCTGGGTTCTGCAGCGCGAGCTTTCGCTCCACGTGCTCCGAGCTGGTGTGCGCTAGCCCGCTCAGCCACTGTTCCCCCCTTTACTGGTTTCGTAGCCCGCAACCCAAAGGGTCGCCATGGTCGGCTTTCCACGATTGGCCAAGCCACGGGCATAAGAGCATTGTCAGACTGACAATTTCGACGGAGTCGGTTTAAAAACGCTATGGCTTCTAATGAAAAAACAGTTAGGGCGCAGGCGAGCTGGTGTAAGTTTACCATTTTTAGACCACCTGAGACTGGGTGGAAGAAACACGACGACGTCTCAAACACAGCTAACCGCTTTATTCAGTTCTCCCTCCTTTTATACATCCTGATCCCAAAATCGTCACCATAAAAAACACTCCAAATAAAGGCACCAAGGGGACACGTCTTGACTTCGCAGCCACAACAATGTTAAAAAAAAAAAAAACGAATCACTTTGAACTAACAAAAGCTACACACACATCAAAACGTCGGCCGAATGGAACATTCTTTGACCTTGCAGCCACTCTTATCTTTACAAAAAACGAAGAAGCGAACCACACGGAGCCGACTGCAGTTCGAACCCATCAACCTGTTACACCTTTTTTTTTCTCTCTCTCTCTCTTTACGTACGCATGCAAACAGAACAAGATCATGACAAAGGAGGTACCTCTGGCGAAAAACCACACGACCTGTTCAATTCATACTCGCAGAAAAGCTTTCGCCCTATCACTAAGAAGCAGAGACGCCTTACTTATGCAATTGCCGATCGACCTAATTTTTTGCTATTTCGTCGTTTACCCTGAGACTGGGTTTTTTTTTGAAGAGCAGAAGTAACAGAAAAAACAGACAGGTCTTGAACTCAGCTACAAGTTTATTTCAACAACTTCCTCTTATATAGTTCGTTCTCGTCGTCATCAACCAATCACATACGACTTGTCCTCTGCACCGTGACTTTACAGGTTCCACTCTATCACAAAAGAAGCGGACACTCCCAACGTTTCCAAGTGAAAAGGTTCCTTTTCACTTGGAAACGTAGGAACCTTTTCACTTGGAAACGTAGGAACCTTTTCACTTGGAAACGTTGGGAGTGTCCGCTTCTTTTGTGATAGAGTGGAACCTGTAAAGTCACGGTGCAGAGGACAAGTCGTATGTGATTGGTTGATGACGACGAGAACGAACTATATAAAAGGAAGTTGTTGAAATAAACTTGTAGCTGAGTTTGAGACCTGTCTGTTTTTTCTGTTACTTCTGCTCTTCAAAAAAACCCAGTCTCAGGGTAAACGACGAAATGGTTGACTTCCACCAGCTAGCCTGTACTTTGACTCTTTTCTAATTTTTGCTGTCTCTTTTACAACCCTTCCGACGTCATTGATCTCTTTGCATACTACCGTTGTACCGGACCACTCGGCTGAGATGGCTTCTAAGTTGCTTCTAAGTGGGATGGCTTCTAAGCTGCACTATGACGTCTAAACAAACCATCGAACTTGTCGTCGCAGCTAATGATAGGTAGCTTGGGATCACGAGTCGGGACGTCACGACGAGGCAAATTCTGATTGTGACGTCACGGAATGAAACCGTGACGTCACAAAATATCTCCGCATCGTCTGCTTCTTGCGCAAGAGTCGCGGTGACGTCAGGAAGACGCTGAGCTCTTATTGGCTTTGACGAAGGATAGTGGGTAGACCTCTAAGCAAGCTCCCTTGAGGTCTACCTACTATCTTTCAATCAAAGCCAACCGGAGGTCGGCGTTCTGACGTTACCACAATCCCTGCAAAAGAAGCTGACGAACTTGCGGTCCGCATAGGTTGTAAGGGAAGCAAAACAGCTTTTAGCGACGCCTGCGACCAAACCACATACGAAGATTTCCATGGCTTCGCGGGCTACCGTAAACTAAATAGATTGACAGACAGCTTAAGCTCATGCACGAATGAAAACAAAAATGTAAGGAGACAGGAGATTGTCTGATCCGAAACAAAGCATGCGCTGCCTCCTCAGCCGACGCCACACTCTTCCAGAACCAACCAAGCAGTTCCAAAAGTGCATCGTCACGGTCCTCCTTGAGCCTTTGCTATAACTAACTGGCTGAAACAATCACGTACAGTGAATACGCCACGATCCTGTGCTTTTCTCTGTGCCTGATTGCTTCAGTCGGCGGCGATATCAAACGCATAAAGGCGATGAGCGCGCGGCTCCATCGTAGCGCGGGCAGCGTTGGAACTCAAAGTGAAACGGAGCACAAGCATGTCGAGCAGCCACAAAACTCGCACCAGCGAGTTTCTATGGCTCGTCGAAAGCGCGCTCAGCTGCAAACTCATGACAACTCTATGGCGTATATCCAAAGGCTCCCTCCCAAAACATTAAACATAAAATACGCATTGGCGAACGCGCATTCTCCGTCCAAATGTAGCCCTGCCGGTCCGAATCAGATGGCAAAAATTCAGAACTCATCGTTATCTCATTCAAAAATTATAGGCCCGAGTGATCTGAAAATATTGATAGCAAAATAGGGCCCGCGCTTTCGCCCGTTTTCGATAACTGAGAGTTCTGTCGACTGCCATTTGCCATTCGATGGTTAGGACTACGAACGCTACATTTGGGCCGAGAATAAGTGTTCTTCGAGGCCTAGTTTATTTTCGCGGTGGCAAAACCCCGTAAAGTTTGGGGGACGGTCTTGTAGATGAACCGGAAGCGAACAATGACGGCTGATTGTGGCCTTTTTTTTTCTTTTTTCGGGTATTGCCGTTGCTTTCGGCGGCCACCCTCCCGGCGCGTGCGGTTTCTTCCGCGCCTCACGCGAAACATACCGGTCGCGATAACCCCATTCGGCGGTCTGTGGCCCGGACAAGACGGGAGCCGCATCGAGGTTACCATCTGCAGCCGGGGCGACTTTACGCTCTTGCGCGACATGCACGCCGTCGGGAGGGACCTCGTCGCGGCGAGGGGCCCGCCGGAAGATGCGCCGCCGCCACCGCCTGTCCCCCTCGAAACGGAAGCCAAGGGGGATCTGTTGCCCCACGCCAGACGTTTCAAACAAACTCGTGTAATTTAAATCTCTTCGTGATTTTCTTTTTTCTAGGATGTCATTTTATAAAGGGGGAATCTTAAGGGCTAGTCTGCCATTCAATTTGCTCGATGTGTCCGCGTGTTAGCGAAGGTGTTTTACAATGCCAGAATGTGTTACCACGCGCATGCGGTTTGGAAGATCACGAGCGATAAGCCGTGATCCCACTGTTCACACATTAAACAAAAGACGCGGAGTTTCTCTGCTGATATACCTCGGGCACTTTCGAAGCAGCAGGTTCGAAGTAAAATGCTTCGAACATGTCTGCAGGGAGCCTTTTTATTTGGCGAATGTGACCGAGCCATCATACAGGTAAGAAGAAAGCCTCAGACCGTGACTGCAGACGTGTATTTTTTTATGAGGCACAGGCGGTGTGACCGAAGCTTTATAGAGGCTACCATCAGGAGCGTTATACAACGTTACAGTCACGAGCGTTATAAAAGTTACACAAATTCAACAGAATAAAGCAAAATTGTGAAGCATCAGCATGTCAGCTAGAAAGCATGTCAAAGCGTGGCAGCTAAAAAGGAACGATATATCGGGTCATCTACCCTCGAGCGGCTTTGTTTACTCCGCCCTCACTTTACGATTTGTTGCACTTATTCGGGAATAACCGATGCAGGAGGTTCTGAAACGAAATGATGCTGTTGTTGTTTCCTCGAAATATGCGCACAGTAGCGGAGGCAGATCCCTTAACTCTTAGAGCGCGTAAGGCATAGCCCGACAAAGGTATCCAAGTCGGGACAGCAGAAACGTTCTCGAAGGCATGAATGCAGACAAACCACTGTCATAATTGCGTCAATTTTTTACTTGTTTTTTTTTTCCCCCTTTAAAAAAAGATTAACGCAATGATGACTCCATCGACCTCATCCAAGGTCCTACCGATTGTTGCCTTTCAACGAAAAATACCACGGGTCGCCACGCCTCAAAGGCGAAACCAACCGCGCAAAAATGCACAGCACCCAGGCCCACCGAGCTCACCGCGGAGAGGCTGGCAGGTGAGGCTCTCCGGAGGTCCTGGTACCGCGGCATCCTCCTGGCTCTGGAGACCGTGGCCTTCCGGCAGACGCGCGCTCCTCGTCGGTCTGCGTCGGCGGTCAGTAGCGAATCTCGGGCGCTGCCAGCAAGTGGGCCGCGGAGGCAGCTTCCCGACGCCGCAACCCCTCCATCACGCTCGACCCGAACGACACTGTCTGCCGACGGCGCGGTCGGCACCGACCTCTCGGCCGCTCCTTCTCACCTTCGGCCGAAGTCGCGCTCGGGAGGGGCGGAGTCTCAGCTGCCACCGATGCCTCGGGCGCCGGCCCAAGCGATCCGTCCTTTCGGCCCAGCCCTTCCCGCAGTGTCACCCGACAGCTTAGTGCATTCACTCGAGAATAAGGTGACACTTTCTTTCCTCTTATTGACGAAGCTCGCGACCTCCTGCTTTGTTGCATAGTTGGCAGAGGATCAACTGCGAGAGGAAACTAGCAAGTGACAAGAAATACTTTTCTTTCTTTTTTCTAAATCTAATCGGCTATACGATTTAGTTGCGTGGTGCGACCCGCACCATCTACTCATCTCTCTATTCAGCACGTAACATCCACTATTACTCAGCGCCGAGGGCTTCCTCGGCATAAGCTATTGGCCTTTCTGCGGTGTCGCGGCTCTCCTGAGGCAAAATAAATACCAGTACTAATACTAATAATAATACCGATACTAGTAACCAGATGGGAAGCTTTGTCCCGAATGGCGAACACGAGACCATTATGCGCTGTAAACCAGCGAAGGTCGCTAATTTGAAATTACGTGTGCATCTTAGATCACACCTAGCCTTCCGGAAATCGCAGTTTGTCTTTTCTATATTTACATTTTGTGTTTAATTATTTGTGTATTTATTTAGGGTAACTGTCAACTAACGCCGTGATTTCCGATTGACACTTCGCATGCTGTACAGTAAAGTATATTGTGCGGGCTTTATATGAATAGTAGCTTGATTTTCGAGCAAATATGCCAAGTGATTATGGTCGTTCAGTTTGGTTCATTTTTTTTCAGGGCCTCATAGTTTTACTTTGTTTCCGGTTGACCGATAACCGTACTATTGCGAGCGTTTTTCCACACAAAATAGCTTCAGGGGGAACCTAACGCGATCACATGACATGGCATTTTCCAGAAAAACCGTGAGCTAAACTTCGAGTGGCAATTTTCGCCAGTTCGAAGTGATCGCAGGAAGTAAACCTGCGATTAAGACCAGGCCGCGCGCACCAACCATCATATGCAAGTCGAGGACATTATTTCATTCATCGTCCCAATATATTCATAAAAAATAATCGTGTACGCAAATCTAATACAACTCAAGTTGTTGAGCTAAAATATCTCAAGCCAAATTACGAGACTTCGGTTTGATCGCAAAAATTGCACTTACGACGATTTTAATTCTTGAACGGAAAACTCAACGAAAGATGTTCGTCATAAACCGATTTCATCAAGGGTTCGGCACATGCGTGAAGCAGCCATAACTTAAGTTCACAGGAGGCAGTGCTGGAGACGTCTCGTGCTCTGCACGCGCAGACCTCCAGCGAGGTTGTGGCACATGCGGAAAGACCATATATATAGTTTGTTGTATTCGTCCGTTTTTTTTTTATCGTTGCCCATCTCAGAGTTTACAAGATGTCGATTAATTACCAGCTCGCCTGCACTCTATCACTGCTTACCATAGTTCCCTCGACTCATTGCGGCAGCGGTGGCGTAGTCAAACTGGTTGGTGAGATCGGTCTATTGCACCGTACGTGCGGTTCATTTTGGCGGCAGGTTTGTTTATCGTGAGTGGCTGCATCAAACATATAGATTCTTTTTTCTTAACTTATATTTTCATTGTTTGCGAGAGATGGTCTGAGAGTCTCTGTGAATTGTTTATGAATTCGCAATTCGTACGCTCTCCTTAATTTCTACATTAAAAAAAAATTATTGGACACCAGGTTTAACACAGAAAAAAAAAGTGCAATTAAAAAAAATTCTCGGTTACGATTTCTCACGGAAAATTTTGATGCTGGTAGAGGATCACAGGAAAGCATAAAAAAGTTCTCAGCATTCCGAATCTTTGAACGAATCCTGAGAACGAAAAGTTCTCAGCTAATAAAACAAGCTTCCTCATGCTAATAGAATATCTTTAACTTTATGTACATAATGAGGAATATAGCGCTATGACTCTGGCCTTGTGTTGTAATAAATTCAGTTACAAAGAAACAGAGCATTCTTTAATACTTTCGGGGGCCATGGGGGCCCACCCCCACGAGCTTGACGTTTTCAAACAGGCGGGATCAATCTAATTTGCCACAGTAATTATTTAAACAATTTTCTCCTCGTAAGGATTATCCGACTGAACCATCTGAAATATGGCGAAACAAAGAAACATGAACGTCGACAGGCCCCCAGCCACGTTAATTAATATATTAGCTGACAGCTTTTATTTCTCTCGAATATATATACTTCAAGCTGATCGCATTTGGCTCTGCCGTATTGTAATCAAATGTTCCCGATATCTTCTAAAAAGAGCGTAGCATGCTCTCCAAGTAAGAGTGAGCAGCCGCAACCTATGGGATGCGAAATCACGTCCGCTAAAATGCGAAGAAGTCCAATTTGGTGGTTTTACATATACCAAACCAACGAAGGGCATATCAGGCACGTTCCAGCGGAGGACTGCGGATTCATTTCGACCACCTGGGAATCTTTTTTAACGTGCAACCGGAAGCTCGGTTAACGGCACCTTTTCCGCAATAAGCTGCGTCGAATTAGCCTCGGAGTCACCGCGAGGCGGCGCTTTAAAATGCGGAAGGAGTCGTCTTCTGCTGTGGGGACAACCCTAAAGAAGTCTTTTATTTTTTTGGCGGTTGGCGAAAGCTAGAACGTAACACCGCAACGAAGCAACGAGGGGCTTACGTCACTCACGGTGACACCATGCATCGCGCGTGACTTTTGCAAGCTCCCGCGAAACAACTGAAATGCACTTCTAAGTGACCGCTCAAAAAAATGAAAGTTTTATTGTGTATAGTTTGTCGACTTCATTCCCGCCCGTTTCATTCTGGTTTCAGGAACAGAAAAAGAAATACAATTGGGATTCGCGGACTAGAGTGCGGGTACCCATTATTACCGCAAATATCACTTACGTTTGAAGTGGTATACATAGTTATATGCCATACTCCGTTTCACTTTAGACAGTTTCAGTACAGATCATTCGATATGACTCCCATAAGGACACCCGATACTCCACCGCCACTTTTGCGCATGCATCATATCGTAATCCGGTATCGTTATCGGGGGTATCGGAACGATCCACTAAAACTCTATTGTAAGGCCGACCACAGCTTACTCTACGATCGGACGGAGCCAATTAAACAGAGGCAGAAGTGAATCCAAACGTCGCTCCTTGACTTTGTTCGTTTTCCATCACTGGCAAATGCAATCACGCAGATAGAAAAGCGCAGCGTCACGGCGCATTCACTATGTGCGATTGGTTCAGCCAGATTGCTATACGGAGAGCAAGTCGTCTGCTACTTGCACAGGAGTTGCAGTGACATCAGAAAGACGCCGAGCCCTGACTGGCTCTGGTAGTAGGATAGTGGATAGACCTCAAAGGCAAGCTGCCTCGAGGTCTACCCACTATCCTTCCAATGAGAGCCAATCAGAGCTCGGCGTTCTGACGTCACCGCAAAACCTGCAAAAGAAGCAGACGAACTTGCGCTCCGCATAGCAAACCCACAAGGAGGACCAGCACTGTGACGATGCACTTTTGGCAATTGGCTCACCGTCGTATTATTTTTTTTTTAATTAAATTACGTTTTCAGGCAATCGGAGCCGATCGACTTCAAAAAACGTAGTGGAATGTATGAAATAAAGAAGTTTGTTTCGCTCGGAGTAATTTTTAGATATTGTAGCGCGTTCTAATTTTTACACGGCGGACTCCACTATGCGGTGAACTCTTATTCGTTTACGCAAGCGTGCGTTTAGTTTTTACTATACGCTCGGCTACGCAGCTGTAGAGTTTAAATGCGAGTATTTTATTTTTATCTCATCGAAGGTAATTTTTTTTCTAAAGAAACACAAAAAAGTGTAAACGCGCTGTTGTAACGTTCATTTTTTATCTAAAAAAAAACGTTTAGTTACAAATTATTTTTCTCTATAAAAACACGACAACAAAATAGAAAACACTGTTGTGACGGCCATTTTATGCTTGAAGAAAAAACAAATGTTGAGTTGCAACTTGTGTCGTTTGTTTTTACCAGTATAGTATAACTAGCGTTCGGTGTGTTCGAATAAATCCAAAGAATTACAAGAAAAAAAAAAAAAAACTCCCAAAACATTTGCCGGTAAAAAACTTGGAAATTCGTATTTATCCGAAAAATTTCCGAATTTGAGGTCAAGTTGGAAAATAACAAGAAATCAAAAGCATAAAAGTTCGTGCTTTACGAACAAACTTCGTGAGAGCACAGGGTCGGTTGTCCTGAGGAGTGGCCACTTCAGTTTCCTTTGAAATCCCGAACTATTGACAAACGGGTCTACTTACACCTCATCGAGGGTTGTTCAGAAAAACGGGTCATTGTACTCCTGGGTCACGACAAAAGCCACTGTTCCGGTTTCCAGTTTGGAGCACACTATCTATGCTTCTTAGAGAGAGGAAGGGTTGTGTTTCTGTGAAAGTGAAAGTTTCAAACCTGTAGATTTTATAGGAGGGGGCAGGGCAGCTGGAGCTTCCATGCTTCTCACCGACTACATCCACCGGAGTTTTGTTATTTCAGAACATTAATTGACGTTAATTAAACCAATAGTTTTTTGTTGTTGTTTTTTTGCGGTAGGGGGATCGGTGACTGAGTGGGCTAGCGCACACCAGCTCGGAGCAAGTGGAGCGAAAACTCGCACTGCAGAACCCAGGATCCTGAGCTCAATCCCCACCCCTGCCCGTTTCGATCTGAATTAGCATCGTACCGGCGTGCGGTGGTGTATCACTACTGTGTGGTGCACGTTGAAGACCCCAGGCTAGCGGCTGTACTGCACTGGCTAAATTTCTCATCTACAACTAGGAAACTCGACGCCCGTCGAGGCAGACCAAGTTCTAGGCTGTATAACCATACACACCTTTTTTTTTCTTTTTTGCGCGGTATTCTTCGTGGTACATTCAGTATCTCCAAGGGCAAGGGCGCCGATGCTGTATGCAGCGCGGAAATATCATTCGATACAAAAGA